ATTTTGATAGATATATACACCAATGAAACCTCTACCACAATCAAGAAGGCTAACATTTCCATCACTCCCCAAGAGGTGCAATTTTGGAATTCCCAATTTATCCCTTCCCTCCCCCTTTAACCGCTAGTAACCATAAGTTTGTTCTGTTTGTAAGTCTGCTTCTGTTTTGTAGATAATTTCATTTGTGTCCCTTTTTTTTAGATTCCACATATAAGCAATATGATATGGCATTTTTCTTTCTCTTCCTGGCTTCCTTCCCATAGAATGATGATCTCCAGGTCCACCTATGTTCTGCAAATGGCATTATTTTATTTTTTATGGCTGAGTAGTATTCCATTGTGTATATATACACCACATCTATATCCAGTCATCTATTGATAGACATTTGGGTTGTTTCCATGTCTTGGATATTGTAAATAGTGCTGCAATGAAAACTGGGGTGCATGTGTCTTTTTGAATTATATTTTTCTCCAGATAAATGCCCAGGAGTGGGATTGCTGGATCATATAGTAAGTCTATTTTTAGTCTTTTGAGAAGTGTCCATACTGTCCTACATAGGGGCTGCACCAAGTTACTTTCTCACCAACAGTGTAGGGGAATTCCTTTTTCTCCACACCCTCTCCAACATTTATCGTTTGTGGCCTTTTTAATGAAGGCATTCTGACTGGTTTGAGGTGGTATCTCATTGTAGGTTTGATTTGCATTTCTCCAACAATTAGTGATGTTGAGCATCTTTTCATGTACTTGTTGGCCATCTGTATGTCTTCTTTGGAGAGATGCCTATTTAGGTCTTCTGCCCATTTCTTGATTGGGTTGCTCCTTTTTTTTCATATTAAGGTGTATGAGCTGTTTGTATATTTTGGAAATTAGTCCCTTGTTGGTCACATCATTTTCAAACATTTTCTCACGTTCTGTAGGTTGTCTTTTCATTTTGTTGATAGTGTCCTTAACTGTGCAAAAGCTTTTAAATTTAGTTAGATCCCATTTGTTTATTTTTGCTTTTATCTCCATTACTCTAGGAGTTGCTTCAAAAACTATGTTGCTGTGATTTATGTGCAAGAGTGTTCTGCCTATGATTTACTCTAGGAGTTTTATAGTATCTGGTCTTACATTTAAGTCTATAATCCATTTTGAGGGTTTTTTTGTATATAGTGTTAAAGAATGTTCTGATTTCAGTCTTTTCTAGGTAACTGTCTAGTTTTCCCCACACCGTCTACTGAAGAGACTGTCATTTCTCCATTGTATATTCTTGCCTCCTTTGTTGTAGACTAATTGACCATAAGTACATGGGTTTATTTCTGGACTTTCTATTCTGTTCCATTGATCTATGTGTCCGTTTTTGTGCCAGTACCATACTGTTTTCGTTACTGTATCTTTCTAGTATACTCTGAAGTCAGGGAGCGTGATTCTCCCAGCTCCATTCTTCTTTTTCAAGTTTTTGCTATTCAGTGTCTTTTGTGTTTCCATACAAATTTTAACATTTTTTGTTCCAGCTCTGTGAAAAATGTCCCTGGGCATTTGATAGGGATTGCACTAAGTCTCTGTATTTCCTGGGGTACTATGGCCATTTTAACAATATTGATTCTTCGAATCCAAGAACATGGTATATCTTTCCATTTGTTTATGTCGTCTTCAGTTCGTTTCATCAGTGTCTTATAGTTTTTGGAGTACAAGTCTTTTGCCTCCTTGGATAGGTTTGTTCCTAGGTATTTTATTCATTTTGGTACAATGGTGAATGGTATTGTTTCCTTAATTTCTTTTTCTGCTATTTTGTTGTTAGTGTATGGAAATGTAACTGATTTCTGTGTATTAATTTTGTATCCTGCAACTTTACCAGATTCACTGATGAGTTGTAGTAGTTTTCTGGTCACTTCTTTCGGGTTTTCTATGTATGGTATCATGTCATCTGCAAACAGTGACAGTTTTATTTCTTAATTTCCAATTTAGATTCCTTTATTTCTTTTTATTCTCTGATAGCTATGGCTCAAACTTCCAAAACTAGGTCGAATAAAAGTGGCAAGAGTGGGCGTCCTTGTCTTGTTCCTGATCTTAGAGGAAATGCTTCCAGCTTTTCCCCATTAATTATGATGTTAACTGTGGGTTTGCCATATACATCCTTTATTATCTTGAGGTATATTTAGTGAATGACCACTTCTGGAGAGTTTTCCTTGTAAATGGATATTCAATTTTATCAAAATATTTTTCTGTATCTATTGAGATGATTTTGAGTTTTATTCTTCAGTTTCTTAATGTGGTGTATCACATTGATTGATTTGCAGATTTTGAAAAATCCTTGCATCCCTGGGATAAATCCCACTCAATCGTGGTATATGATCCTTTTAATGCATTATAGGAGTCAATTTGCTAGTATTTTGTTGAGGATTTTTGCATCTATCTTCATAATTGATACTAGCGTGTAATTTTCTTTTTTTGTGATATCTTTGTCTAGTTTTGGAATCAGGGTGATGATGGCCTCATAGAATGGGTTTCGAAGTGTTCCTGCCTCTGGAATTCCTCTTGGAATACTTTCAGAAGGATAGGTATTAACTTTTCTGTAAATGTTTCATAGAATTCCCCTGTGAAGCCATCTGGTCCTGAACTTTTGTTTGTTGGGAGTTTAATTACTGATTCAATTTCAGTACTGGTAATTGGTCTGTTCATACTGTCTATTTCTTCCTGGTTCCGTCTTGGTAGATTGTACCTTTCAAAGGACATGTCCATTTCTACATTGTCCTTTTTGTTGGCATATAATTGCTCATAGTAACTTATTATGATCTCTTACATTTCTGTGGTGTCTCTCCCTTCTGGCCTGTAGAGTTTCTGCTGGAAAATCAACTAATAACTTTATTGGACTTCCCTCATATGTTACTTGTTGCTTTTCTCTTGCAGATTTTAATATTTTTTCCTTATCCTTAATTTTGACAATTTGATTACTATGTGCCTTAGTGTGTTCCTTTTTGGGTTGATCCTATGTGGAACTGTCTGCACTTCCTGGACTTGGGTGACAGTTTCCTTTCCCAAGTTAGGGAAGTTTTCAGTTATTACTTCTTAAAAAATTTTCTCACCTCTCTCTCTCCTCCTTCTGGGACCCCTATAATGTGAATATGAGTGCACTTCCTGTTGTCCAGAGTTCTCTTAAACTATCCTCATTTCTTTTCATTATTTTTTCTTTTTTTCTGTTCTTTAGTAGTGATTTCCACTAGTCTCTCTTCTAGCTCATTGTTCCATTCTTCTACCTCATTTAGTCTATTCTTGGTTCCTTCTAGTGTGTTAATTCATTTCAGTGATTTTATTCTTCAACTCTGTTTAGATATTCTTTACTTTTTCCAACTCTTTGCTAAAACCTTCACTCTGTGCATCTCTGTTCCTCTTGAGTTCTCTAGACATCTTCTCTGTCATTCATCTAAACTCTTTCTCAGATAGATTGCATGTTCCCTCATCACTTATTTTTTCTTTTGGGGTTTTATCTTGTACCTTGGCCTAGAAGATATTCCTCTGCTGCCTCCTATCGTCTATCTTTCTGTTTGATTTTTAGGTAGGTTAGTTACATTTCTAGACCTTGGAGAAATGTCCCTCTTCTCTCTGTGGGAGACATCCTATGCGTCCCAGCAGTACACTCCTCTCTTGTCACTCAAGGGCCAGGGTCCAGCCAGTCCCAGGGTAGTCTGGCCTGTTGTTTTGGGATTGTTGTTTCCTTATTTCTGTTATCTGCCACCTGGTGGATGAGGCTGGACCAGAGGCTTATGCAGGTTTCCTGGCAGGAGCAGTGGGAGTGCCTGCCCACTGCTGGGTGAAGCTTGGTCCTGGTCCTCTGGTGGGCAGGGCCATGTCTCGGGGCATGTCTAGAGGTGTTTGTGGCTCAGGATGTTTGCTGATGGTTGGGGCTGCAGTCTCACCCCATATGTTGTTTGGCCTGAGGCTTCCCAGCACTTAAGCCTAGAGGCTGTTGAGTGGGACTAGGGGTTGGTGCCAGTGATCCAGTCAAGATGTCAGCCTCCAGGGAAGCTCATGTAAATGAACAGTCCCGGAATGTCCGCCACCAGCTTTTATGTCCCCTGAGTGAACCCCAGCCATCCCCTACCTCCCTAAAAGCCCTTCCAAAACCAGCAGGCAGGTCTGGCCTAGGTTCCTATGAAATCGCTGCCTCTGCCCCTGGACCTGGCACCTGAGAGATTCTGTGTACGCTTCCCCAGAGCATAAAGTTTCTGTTTCCCCCTGTCCCGTGGGGCTCCAGGGGTTAAGCCCTACTCACCTTCAAAACCAGATGTCCTGGGGTCTCCTCCTCCCAGTACTGGAATCCCCTGGCTGGGGACTTATGTGGAGCTTAGAACTCTCACTCCTGTGGGAGGGCCTCTGGGACTTGATTTTTCTTCAGCTTGTGGGCCTTGAGCTATACCCTCCCCCCAAAATTTTTAACATCTCTTTTATGTCAGATAAGCAAAAGCACTTGGGAAATGCAAAAAGAATTGGAATCCTTGGTTTCAATTTTGCCTCCATAGCCTTGTGGCTGTTTACCTAGGGATGAGAGGAAGCCATGGCAGAAGTAGAATCCTTGTAGAAGTAGGACCAGGTAAACAACAGGGTTTTGTATACTGTATAGCATGGAGAACAATATTCAATATCTTGTAATAACCTAGAAAGCGTATATAAGTCTATGTATGTCTGAATCACTATGCTGTACACCAGAAACTAACACAACATTGCAAATCAACTGTACTTCAATTTTTAGAAATTAATTAATAATAAAGAAATAGGACCAAAAACACCCACCCCGCCCCAACAGAAGCTTCCTTTGGATAGCTGACCTGCTGTGCTTCAGCCTAATTGACACCATCACATCTTGGAGAAGAGTCCGAATGAAGTTAAACCGCTGAAAACAAAAGAAATGTCTCTTGCCTGTTTTGATTATGTACATTGAAACAGCCATTTGCAAAGTCCTTAATGATGACGGTGGTCCTGATCTTACTGCTGATTTACAGGCCTGATGAATTTATAGAATGTGAAGACCCCGTGGATCATGTTGGAAATGCAACGGCATCCCAGGAACTTGGTTATGGTTGTCTCAAGGTGGGTTTTTGTTTTGTTTTATAAGCAGACTCTTCCACAGAGAAATAGTGCTGGCTAAATGCTGTTACAGAAAAGTATAAAGGGTATGAAGTCACCGTTTTGTAAAATTCACTGGAATGACTGTTACTGGAAATTTCCAGCATAGCCTGGGTCAGTGGCTGAACAAGACATGTAGTTGCCTCTGGAAGAAACAGTCTCTGTACCTTAGTTACCCAGGTGCAAAGACCCGCCTGTCTTTGGTTCCTTTGGCCATTGAGATCGACAGATTCGAAGCTAAACTGTCACCCCTGACTATCCTTCAAGGCCTGTACTTTCCTGAAAGAGGAAAAGAAAGGTCTGTGGACTTTCAAAACTGATGATGGATTGAGCAATATCTTCATTACCCACGCGTCTGGGACAAAATTCCTGTTGCCAATAACTTCTTTTCACCAGACAAGCAATTTCCCACCATGTCCTTAAGAAATAGAGTTTATGAGTACATGTCTTTGTAGGAGGTTATAACATTCCAGGAGAAGCCTTTGATAACATTGGCCTCTTGGAATGGAAAAAAAGCCATGCAGTTCCGTAAATAACATCCCTAAAGCTGGATGCATGCTTCCTAGTCAGTCTCCCGAGAACTAGTGAAGTTCATGTTCTTCGTCCCCACTGTTGATTCACCGTTATGTTCTGTTACGCTATGTGATGCCAGTCAAGACGCAGTCAGGTATAAGAGAAATACAGGAAGGTATTCCTTGTACTAAATCAGACCCAGAGGAATAAACCTAAAAGTGATAAGGCCAAAAAGGCAACTGCTACTGCAGTCAAGTATAAGGAAGTATTTTTAATCCAATGAAATCTTGCTGTATTGATAATTACTGATAAAAGTTTGAGTGAGCACTGTACAGAGATCATTGTATAGATATGCTTTGGCCCATTTTAATGAAAACCTGGGTTGATCCCGAGAAGACACTCAAACTATCACATCCCCCTGAAGTCTTAGAGGACCCTCAGTATTCAGGCACCAGAACCCCCAGGGAGGTATGAGAAGCAAGTGTCCTCATTTCCCACTCCCTTCTCTTTGAGAAATGTTCCAGAAAAATCAGTGGTGAAGCACTTCATAAGGTGTCAATAGAGAATATACAGCTGTGCTTTCTCTGTTTGAATTCAGTTACACAAAGGGTCAGAAGTCCTGTTCTGAAATTTTTTGCTGGAATTTAAACTTATTCTTTAGTGGTAGTACAGATATCTGATGACACTTTTATGACCCAAGTCAAGTTCTGAGTCAGCTAATATTCTGAGTTCTTTCCTAATTATGTTCACCTATAATATGTGTATAAAACAGACCTCGAATACACATTGAGTTTTTAAATACCCATTTTCAAATACTCAGAAATGTGTTCTTTTTTCCTGCAAATATATGATAATTAAAGCATTGTGTCTGTCTATACTAAATGGTATGTAATGAAAGTGATTATAATGAACTTTTTTGCTGTATTATTAAAGAAGGCAGTCATAAAGGGGAAAAAAAGTTTATTTAAAAACCATGTGCATTTAGGATGGACTAATTTCAAATCCCTTGAAGGATGTCACGAAATTCCTTGCTATTTAGCACAGCTTTACCCGACCTCTGTTAGCGTAATGGTTGTCCTGAGTCAGCTTTTATTAATTCACAGAAAGTTAATGTGTCATGTGACTTGCTCTGGTGAGTTTGGTCAGTTGGTTGTTTTGGTTGTTATTCCACAGTTCGGTGGTCAGGCCTACAGTGACGTGGAACATACTTCGGTCCAGTGCCGGGCCCTAGACGGGATTGAGTGTGCCAGCCCTAGAACCTTCCTACGAGAGAATAAACCTTGTATAAAGTAAGTGTTGCTTTGAATGAGGCAGTTAATTCTTGGATGGAGGTTGAGCTGTTTTCTTTGTCGTCTGTCGATGTGACTTTTTCTTTTACCTTAAGTGTTAATGGGGCAACATGGTTAATTCTATGCATAATCCTGGGTAATGTGGTTATAATAGGGAGGACACTGGACTTGAGCCCAGAGGCTGAAAATTCTAAATGTCTGTTTCAGGACCTTTGGGCACCCCCAAGTCTCTATCTCTTCATCCTCAAAATGAGGGGGTTGGACCAGATGATGTAGTTCCAAGATTCCTATGACAGGCATAAATGGTATGAAAACAGCCTTAGAATTTTAGGAAGAAAGGTTTTATTATGAAAACTGTGGGCCTCTCTCCCTGAAAAATCAGCATTTATGATAACACTGATGAAAGTTAAAAGAATTAGGGTTATTCCTGTAAATTCTGTTTTAAGGCCCAGAATTTACTTACACCATTTGCTAGAGAGTCTGTAGCTGTGCTGAGTGATGGTGTTAGGGCAACCGCAATGGAATCTCATCACAGGACGTAAGACGGAAGTCCCTACAAAGAAGTCCCCATTTTTAGGTGCCACAAAACAGCAGGAAAGGAATGAGGAGGTCAGTGTTCATTTCAGGAACTGTAACACTTCGTTGGAGAACTACATTCAGAATCATAGCCTTGGGAAAGGAGCCTGAGTGAGGGCAGGAGGGGGGCCTGACTCCACTCCTACCAGGATGCCAGTCGTGCAAATGTGCTTGATGGTTTCTTGTCCAGTCCAGCCCTGTCTGGGATCTTACAGGTCCTCATACCTTAGCAAGTACTCTTTTGAGACTCAACTAACTAGAGATTTCCCTTTTTTACGGGGTAAGAGGTCACAAAGGTACTGCGTCCCCACCTTTTCACTTAACATGAAATTCACTAGTCATGAAGTGTGTTCATCTCCGCGTGGTAAACACCTTCCTCTTAATTCCTTTTGTCTAGGTACACTGGACACTACTTCATAACCACTTTACTCTACTCTTTCTTCCTGGGCTGTTTCGGAGTGGATCGTTTCTGTCTGGGACACACCGGCACAGCCGTAGGGAAGCTCTTGACACTTGGAGGACTTGGGATTTGGTGGTTTGTTGACCTCATTTTGCTCATCACTGGAGGGCTGATGCCTAGTGACGGCAGCAATTGGTGCACTATTTACTGAAAAGAGCCGCTGTCCTGGCTCAGAGGGGCAAGTCTTCTGAATTCATCTCTGCAGGCTCCTCCTGGACGTCAGACTCTTCCTCGATATCAGACTCGACCACTGCTTTCCCTCCTTGGAGGGAATGGATTTGGTTAGGAAGGTTTCCTTGGACTATGGATTTTCAGCGCAGAATCTCCCCTTACAGACTAGAAATGACAAGCAAACAATATTGTCAGTATCATCTGTGTACCTTTCCTCATGTACAAAATATAAAGGATGGTAATTAACTTATAAACTGCAGCAGGGTTTCCACATTCTTTATTTCTGTGCACTGCTGTGTTGTCAGTCTTTTGGAGCAAGTGGACCCAATGGGATGAGCAAAGTGAATATTTTTTGCCTTGTGCCTTTTGTGATCCTGAGCCTTCACGCAGAGAAGATCTGGAGCAGAACCAGCAAAAATCTTCAGCAGAAGTAGAAATGGTGATGGATTTTCATACACATTGAGATTCAACGTTACCAACCTGGAATGCTGGGTATTTTCAGGAGGTAGAGTGAAACTCAAAATTATACACGTTTAGCTAAAAGCTAGGCATTTGGAGTGAGCCTATTAATTAAACCCTATTGTTGCATCATCATTATGCCCAAGAGACAACACATATGATACAATAATTTCTTCATTCCAATTAGGCTTTGAAAGCCAACAGTATCAGACATGTCTAGGTTAAGCTGTACTCTTGGCAGAATTTTCCTATCTAAAAATTCGTATTTACCAGTTTAGGGAGCTGGTAAAAAAGATTTCATACAGGTAACTATAAAAATATTCCTTATGGTTAGGTAAGATAAGGTGAGGAACCTCATGACCTTGGAAAGGAAAACAGACTCTTACTTAAGGGATATTATTTATGAGTGCTGGCTAGAGTTAGGATGTGATTTGTATGGGCAAAGAGAAATTGAACACATTCTGTCAAAATAAGCATGGTACCAAAATCTCTCCCTGTGGGCTACAGCCATCAGCCAGAGGTAAAGAGAGAACCAAGCTTTTGCATTCCCAAATCACTGAGTATTCAAAAATGTTCTGAATTATAAACGATTTTAAAAACTTAGTTCCCATCCCTTGCAATCTGAGTTGAAAAGAACTGTTAAAGTACACAGCAAAAGGACAAATTTGTACGTAATTCAAACTAACGAGCCTGCTACTTCAGTAACTTACAATTTCTAGCAACAATCAACGTAGAACTGCTCAAAGTTTAGGCTCCTAATAATTGACATAAAAACCAGGAATCACAGTTAAACTAACTTTGGAAATGCTCTATCATTATGAAGCAGTATTCCTAAAAGTTTCAGCTTTATTAGCCCTGATTAATATGATCACTGCTATTAAGTGATGGCTATCATGTAAAAATTAAAACAAGTTATTCTGTCCTACCTTGAAAGTTCTGGACCACAATGACCTTAACCTTGTTTATAATAGTAATAATTAAGATTCTTACTCATAGTCTCTAAGGCAGAATTACTTAAATTCCCATAGGTCATGAAGAAATGACCCTTTCCCCCCAGAAATGCAGATACATAAAATTTTGCATAGGATTTAAGGGAGTTCAAGGATGTCCCTTAAAAACAAAAATAGAGTGTGCGCTCAGTAGTAGAGTGGTGGCTTAGCATGCACAAGGTCCTGAGTTCAGTCCCCAGTACAGTTACTTCCATTTAAAAAAATCATAAATAGTCTTCTTGACAACAAAACCACAACTGACTGCTAAGCAAACATCGAGAAAAAAGACTGAAACCTATTAAAGATCTTCAAATGGAAATATAAAGAGGGAACCACAGCGGAACAGTAGGAGGGGCGTGATATAATTGGAAACCATACTTCCTGGGTGGGTGACCCACAAGCTGAAGAATAATTAAGTTGCAGAGGCCCTCCCACAGGAATGAGAGTCCTGAGCACCATGTAAGTCCCCAGCCTGGGGTTCCAGCATTGAGAGGAGGAGACCCCAGGACATCTGGTTTTGAAGGCCAGTGGGGCTTAACACCAGGAGCCCCACAGGACTGGGGTAAACAGACTTCATTCTCTTGGGAAGTGTACGCGTAATCTTACGTGCGCCAGGTCCAAGGAGAGACGCAGTGATTTCATAGAAACATGGGCCAGAATTGCCTGCTGGATTTGGAAGGTCTTCTAGGGAGGTAGGGGATAGCTGCAGCTCACCTACGGGTCATAAAAGCTGGTGGCAGACATTCCTGGACTGTTCATCTACACAAGCTTTCCTAGAGGCTGACATCTTGACCGGATCACTGGCACCAACCCCTAGTCCCACTCAACAGCCTCTAGACCTAAGTGCTGGGAAGCCTCAGGCCAAACAACATATGGGGTGAGACTGCAGCCCCAACCATCAGCAAACATCCTGAGCCACAAACACCTCTAGACATGCCCTGAGACATGGCTCTACCCACCAGAGGACCAGGACCAAGCATCACCCAGCAGTGGGCAGGCACTCCCATGGCTCCTGCCAGGAAACCTGCATAAGCCTCTAGTCCAGCCTCATCCACCAGGTGGCAGGTACCAGAAATAAGAAAACAACAACCCAAAAGCCTGTGGAAGGAATCCACAAACACAGGCCAGAATCTACCCTGGGACTGGCTGGACCCTGGCCCTTGAGGTACAAGAGACGAGTGTACTGCTGGGATGCATAGGATGTCTCCCACAGAGGCCACTTCTCCAAGGTCGAGAAATATAACTAACCTACCTAAAAATACAAATCGAAAGACAATATGAGGTGGCAGAGGAATATGTTCCAGACCAAGGTGCAAGATAAAACCCCAGAAGAAGAATTAAGTGATGAAGAGATAGCCAATTTATCTGAGAAAGAATTTAAATTAATGATGGTGAAGATGTTCAGAGAACTTTAAAGGTGTATAGATGCACAGAGTGAAGATTTTAGCAGAGTTGGAAAATATAAAAAATA